CCCCAAGGGGCATCTTTCTTTCTTCGGGGGCTTTTTCCTCCGGTAAACCCTGGGGCCCCCTTTTTTATCGGGTTTCTTTTCAACCACCATCCCTGGTTTTTTTGTGGTTCGGGAATTTAACCCCCTCTCCTTCTCTGACAATGATGAAAAACCTCGTAGGTCCCGTGTGCAAGTTGCGCAAGTTTAAGATGAAAATGTTTCCCGAACGCTCATATGACCTTATGCAGTTTCGAACACAGTAAAATATCCCCCCCCCCCCCCCCCAAAAAAAAAAAGACTGAAGCTGCTGTTTTATTTTTATTAATTATTTAATTATTTTGACACAACGCACATGTTTTTTATCAGCTCTACTTCAACACAAGCCTGTGTCCCTTCCCGTTGAATATAATGGGTTTTGGGAAATGCATGAAGAGTTATTGTTTCTGTTGGAAAGGTCAATATTTGTTTTAAAAACAAATTTGTGCTCTCCAAACTAACCGTCCAACAATCTAATCTTAATTATTTTTCTATTGGTCGCTTTTCTGCCTTTGTTGGCGTAGGCCCTATCCGGGCGTGTACATCGACGGGGCGTACACCTCTTCTGATTGGCTGATCCTGGTTGGCGTGTTGTGGGGGACAGTGGATGGTGTCACTGCGGGGTATACGTCTAAAACTGCTTGGACTCGTGCACAGTGTTTCTGCGTCTTTCACTCCCACGTGGTTTGGTTGCCATTTTCGTTGGTTGTACGTTTTGGAGATTTCACGATTCATACTTTACTAACTGTTGAAACATTTTGAAGTCAAGTTAAAACAGTGATTATCTCGTCATTTGTTAGTCACATACTGTACATTTGTGTGACTGTGGAGACTAGTTTCCCTTTGTGCATCGAGTGGAAACATCGTATTTCGTTATGGCGAGGAATATTGCAAGTGGTTCATCACTCCCAAGAAGAAGGAAACTGCAGTCTGTTTCATTACTGGAAGAGTGGAGTAACCTCTCCATGGTCGAGCTCTGTTCTGAAAGATTCGATGACAGTTGGGTTGAGCCTGAACAACTCGAAGAGAGTAACAGTAACAGCAGTGACAGTTCTTCTCCAGGTTCACATTCCCTTACTGGATATTTCACCGTGAGTCAGACTGCTCGATCTGACAAGACTCGCCCCCTTACCGATACCTTGAGCTTGGTTAAGAAAACGCACAATGATGTAGACTACGATACTTGTTCTGTTCAGGACACCTTTGAGTGTTGTGCGGAAATAAGCATGGACGGTTTAAATAATGTGATGAATGGTCTAGAATTGATTGACAATCTAAATGTGAGTGCTGTAGATACACGCATGAAAAACTGGCCCAGCGACCAATATTGCAGAGTCCCAGAACGTCGTAGATTCCAGCGCCTAGAGAAGCTCAACGTGACCCTCAACACTGGCCTGGTAAGTTCAAAGATTTCATGTCTGTCTGTCTGCTCCATGAAAAACTCTGTAATCTACTGGGTAACTGGTTATGTAAATATACTTCTGTATTTATTTCTTCCTTTGGCCATCAATTTATTTTGTGTTCCCATGATTGTGTCTGTTTGTTTGTATTTCAGTCTTTTTCAATATCTAATTTCAAATTTGTTTTATTTAATGAGGTATCTGAAATATGCACACTATTAGCATTGGTCACTAAACAACAATATAGACCCTCTGGAAAAAAAATAACCCAAAAGTCTTATAGGATAGGAATGTTCCCCAACTTAAATTTTGTTACGGTGCTACTCGTGTTGTCAACTTTATTAGGATCCCTACCACATGTGTGGTTTTTAAAAAATCAACAGAGTACGTTTAAAATACATGTGTGTGGTTGGCGGTTGCTGTGGTGTTGTTTGCTCCTTCTTTCCTATTAAACATTTGTCTTCCTTATTTCTCCCCCTTCTTTTGTGTTTGTTACTCTATAGTAACTCATCTTCTTCACATGTATGCACTAACTTCTCTGCAAGTGCCCTTAACACTCTTAGAAAAACACAATAAATAACATACTCACATGTTCACGTATGAATTTTAACACCAAAATGTGCGGGCATTAAGAATATTTGTTAAACACATTTGGCAAATTCTTCCCTTTGTGATTAAATAATTCCTCGACATACACAATATCTCAAAACAGTATTAAATAGTTTTTTGTTTGATGAGGGTTGAACCGACTCCCCCCCCCCCCCCTTCCCAAAGAAATACCTTATAATTTCACAGACCTCGTCGATTGAATGAAGCAGTCATTTTTCTCAACTGGTATACAAAGTTAAATGCACAATATACATGTAGATGTTGAGTGAGTCAAAAAGGTTACTGGATTAAATTTCCATGCGTTCTTCGTTGAGATGGATAATTAATTAAAAGTATTTTCAAAATGGGAATAGGCCAACGTTGTAGTCAAAAACAAAAGACCAATTCTTTTGACGGTATCCTGACTAAGGAAGCGTCAACTTTGTTCACAACAATTTGGCTCTCAGCTGAGATGACTGTCACACTGAAAAAAAAGGGGTGTGGGCAATTAGGACGGAGAGAAGTGATTGTGTCTTGTCTTGTAAAAACTGCCGTTTCCCCAAACTTTCAGTAAAAAAATCCCGTCTCTGAAGGAAACTTTAGTATTGAAACAGTTCGTTACTTGACAAACACGGCCCCCATAAACATTTCCAAGAAATAACAACAATTTTAAAACCTAATTCCATGCACTTCTTTTGACTTGATTAATTGCTTTTTTTTTAAACTAAATAATTCTTCGTACGCAGAAAAACTTCAACCTATGCATTTTAACTCATTTGTCTGTTTGGAGATCTGGAAGTGACAAACACATGTTTTATTTTGAGTTTTATGTTAAGCATGAAATCATATTATCAGTATACATGAGTAAACTCAATGGGATGATAAACTTAAGCTCGAAATTGAAAGAACCTTGCCACCTTGCCCGAGCGCCGACAATTGATTCATAGAACTTTAGAATAGAGTGAACTTCAAAAATATGTGAAAACACGAACGTCTAAAAAGTTGTTTGGTCGGTCGTTTGTGATTGGTATCCAACCTGTTTCTTCAAAGTGTTGAAAGATGTAGTGAAATAATTGAAAACAAACATATAGGATCATTTTGGACTTTAACCTGCCATACCCCCCCCCCCCCCCAAACCTCCATGACAAAAAGGAAAAAAATTGGGGGCCCCCGTGGAGGAGAGGTCACGTTGCTCACCACTCAGTCAATAGGTACCGGGTTTGATTCCAGACAGAGTTGGAACATTTCTTTCTCTAGATTTTTCTCGTTTCACCTCCTTCCCTGCTCTCTGACAATGTTCTTTCGTCTGATTTTGTCTCCACTCTCTGCACCCACTCCTTTGCACCCTCCTCTTGGCCCCTGGCCCTGACTCTTTCTTTAGCCTTTCTACCTCTACTTCTTGGCTCCTTCTTATTGTTGTCTTTCAGCCACACCTCTGATCTTATTATAGGTAAGATCTAACATCTATCTTTCTCGGATAAGGGCAAATAATTTTGGAAGCCCTCTAAGCATGTTGCACACGTTAAAAATCCCTTGTTAGTCCATCATAAATAAGCGTAGACTTCGGCCGCCACCCGTGCAAAAGTCAAAAGTTCCTACGAACTGAAAATGTTTAATATATCCCGCACCGTCATATTACCTTATGCAATTGCGAGAGTCGATAAACACCCACCATAAAAAAAACTAAACAAAACAAAGCTTCCAACCCATCACCCTATTCCTACGCTCAGGAAAACAAAGAACACCCCCTTAAAAAAGAAGGGTGAATTTGATAATTTACTTAGAAGAAAACAACAATCAAAGAGAAACAAACAAACGAAATAAAAAATTAATGTTTTTCATAACTTAAGTCCCCAGTTATTGAAGAGGCTCCCTGTCTGAACACTCAGTCCAAGCTGCTCAACGTGAGTGTGGACATAATCACTGGACAGACTGGCGATCACAAACAGGCTAGGTTGTTAAATGTGAGTGTGGACAACATCACTGGACAGACTGGCGATCAGGCTGACGGTCTGAAGGAGCAAGTAGGTCGGGTGGCCAGCTGGGCCGTACACGTGGACAAACTACTTCAGGACCCAGTCGGCGTTGAAGTCTTTTCGGTAGGTTCATCATTAACTATATCATGTTTACTTATAGTTTGTCTTTTTTTTTATCCAGAGTTGGACATCCACCCACGCCCCTAAAATGTATTAAAAAATCATTCAAAAAGAATTAGATCAATACATAGATATATGTAATATCGAAAAACAAAAAACAAAAAAACCAAATATGCAAACCAATAAACTAGCCGGTGAAGAAACTACCTAAGGTTAATACCTTACGCCGTTAGGTTTTTGTTTTGTTTTGTATGTTTTTTTTAAACTTAAATACTCTTTTATGCACTTTGGTAGAAACATGATCTCTCTATATTTTGCTCCTAAATTTACAAGTTATATAGAGTTTTCCCTCGACTCGTATTATTAACTTTATTACTCTCATCTACATCGATGTTATTTTTCTATTTAGGAATTTTTGAGGAAAGAGTTCAGCGAAGAGAACATCTTGTTTTGGAAGGCGTGTGAGCAGTACCGTCAACTGACAGATGACTCTGAAGTAAGTTTGGAATATTTTTATAGTCGAATTGTGTTGTTTAACTGAATGTTTTTAAGATGTACAGTATTGTTGCTAAGACACAGGCTCTAAAAATATTAGTATAGCTTTTTTAGAGACAAATGAAAAGGAAAAAAAATACAGAACCAACAACTGTACTTAGTAGCAGTACTTTATAAGGTAATAGTTGCTGTTGAAGTTTCTCTCTTGAGACAAAATACGAGTTACTTCCAACTTTTAGACCTCCACCGGAAATACTTATCATAGGAAATGTAACAATAAGATTAAATGAATACAACGGTCTCAATTCGAATCTAAATTTTGAAAGTCAATGAGGCAGATCAATTTATTTTCTTTTTTTTTATATTGGATATTTTATTTTACGCCCCCCCCCCCCCCCCCCATCCCCGTATTTCAGGCAGCAGGCTTTGACCCTGGGTCAACCAGGCCTGAGAAGGGTGCAATGCCCCAGAAGAAAGCCTGAAATACTCCATAAGAATTTAATCAACATGACAATGAGAATCAAATTCGAGTCTGCAGCGTGCTGCGGCGGGGTGCTTAATTAACCGTAGCACCACATCGCTATGAAAGTTGTAACGTATTGCACAATCTAATGGTAATAATATCACCATGAACCTTATATGATTATCTTCTAAGGCATTGTATTCATGAGTATTATTTGTTGTTTCTCATTATAGCGCAACACTCAGGCCTGTGTCATCTATGGCCGCTTTTTGTCCCCCACGGCAGATGATCCTGTGAATGTGGATGGTGTAGCCCGTTCTCACACGCGGATGTTTCTGGACAATCCCACAGTCGACATGTTTGATGTGGCTCAGAAGCAGGTATGATTCTTGACACTCAGTGTGGTTGTCAGCAAGATTTGATTTGGAGCATAAGTAGTGAAATAAATTTACTGCTCGTACGATGCCATGGTAATGTGACCATTTTCAAGTTTTCATCTCAATAATATTCATATTTGCAAATTAATGTTAATAAGTATAATAATTATAAGTCAGGGCGAAGATGTTAAAAGTAAGTTTTTTGTGGGTTATTTTTTCTAGGAAGCGTGGATGGGGGCGAAAATCTTTTAATTCAGTATTAGTCTGGCATCTTTCACTTGCTTCTCATGTGGTTGACGGGTGTTTTGATGCAGCATGCCTCTTCTTCGTATTATTGTTCTCAGATATTCCACTGACAAATGGCAGTTATCGTGCAGACTTACCGTTTACTATAACTCTATAAATGATAGTTTTCGTAAATGCTCAGATCAAGAATTAAGTCATATTCTGTTCCCATTTGTTTTCATATCAAAATCAATGAATGTGCTACTTCACAGATCCACCAACTGATGCGTCGTGACAGTTATGTGAGATTCGTCAAGTCTGATTTGTACAAGAACAAGTTAATGGAGGAAATGGAGGATAAACCTGGACAGACTGGCGATCAGGGTGACGGTCTGAAGGAGCCAGTAGGTCGGGTGGCCAGCTGGGCCGTACACGTGGACAAACTACTTCAGGACCCAGTCGGTGTTGAAGTCTTTTCGGTAGGTTCCTTATATCCCTTTATGATGTTTACTTTTATTTTATCCTTTTTCAAAATCCACACTCCAATCACTTTAAAGAAAGAAAAAAAATACATGCAAAAAAATAAATTTGAATGAATGAATGAATGAATGAATGAATGAATGAATGAATGAATGATGAATGAATGAATGAACAAACAAACAAACAAACAAGCATACAAGAAAACTAATGAGCAAACGAATAATCGGACTAACTAACAACAATATTGTACAAATGTATATACTGACAAATTTGGAAACTACTACTATATTCTTATGAGTCTGGATGTCTTACTCAATTATTCTTCTTTTTTTTAACTTTAATTCTCTTTTACAGACTTTGGTAGAAAGATGTCCTTTCTATATTTTTCTCCGAAATATTTATGTTAAGTTGGAGTTTTTCTCTACTCGTATTATTAACTTTCTTACTATCATGATCTTCGATATTACTTTTATCTTTAGGAATTCTTGAAGAAAGAGTTTAGCGAAGAGAACATCTTGTTTTGGAAGGCGTGTGAGCAGTACCGTCAACTGACAGATGACTCTGAGGTAAGTTTAGAATAATATTTTGATAGACGAATTTTGTTCTTTAACTGGAGGTTTTTAAGATGCACCTTATTGCTACCAACTACCAAGATGTTGGCTATTAAAAGTACAAATAGACACTGTGGCATCAGTGTTAGCTGATAGAATCATCTTGTCTGTAACTCGCAACATTTATTTTTTCAAATCGATGCTCTGAAATAGTAACAAAGTCTGTAGTACAATTTTGAACTATACTGACACTTTTCGCATTTTTTTTTTGGGGGGGGGGGGGCGGTGGTCTGCTATTTAAAGGTGAATGAAAATGGAATAAAAGAGAACAACTGTACTTAGCAACAATAGTTGATAATGTAATAGTAGATGTTGAAGTTTTATGTTCCTTTAGACAAAAATACAAGTCACTTCGAAGATGGAGCTTTTGGACCTTCACAGTCACAGAGGAAATCATTATCAGAGGAAATATTCCCACAAGATAAAACAAGTGCATGTACCTTGGTCTCTGTTCGAATCCGAATTTTGAAGGTCCATAAGGGAGATCAATTTTTTTAAACATTAGATAAGTTAGTTTAGGCCCCCATCGACACCTGTCAACACTAACCAGAATTGAGAGGGATGCAATACCCCAGAACAAAGTCGGAGAAAATCGAATTCAAGTCTAAAGCGTGATACGGCGGGTTGCTTAACGGCTGCATTACAGACATCGCTATCAATCAATGTCGTAATGTTTTGCACTATGTAATGATAATAACATCACCATGATCCTAATATTATTATTTTCTTTTATTAATGAGTATTTTGTTTCTCATTATAGCGCAACGCTCAGGCCGGAGTCATCTATGGCCGCTTTTTGTCCCCCACGGCAGATGATCCCGTGAATGTGGATGGTGCAGCCCGCTCTCACACGCGGACGTTTCTGGACAATCCCACAGTCGACATGTTTGATGTGGCTCAAAAGCAGGTACGTATCTTGACATTTAGTGTGGTTGTCCGTGAGAGTTGATCTTGTGACACTAGTTGAAATTATTTATACTTATTGCAAGTATCATCTTATGTTAATATGACTACAAATGTACTTTCAAGTTGTTCCAATTACAAAATAGACATATTATTATGTTAGCAGGACAGCATTTGCTAATGAGGAAATGTGTTTTTTTTTCTAATTTGAAAGTACAAGGGTTTTTTTAAGAGAAAGGTTTTTAATTTTTTAAGTTACTTTTCTTTTTTTTTGGAAAGGGTGCATCATACTTTAAATCAGTATTGGTATAGCATCTCTAACTTTCTTTCTATGTGGTTGGTGGATACTTTGATGTGGCCTGCTTCTTCTTTGTGTTATTGTTCTCCAATTTCCCAACACAAAATAGCAGTTGTCGTGCCGACTAACCGTTTACCACAACTCAGCAAATGCCAGTTTTTGGTACATGCACAAATAAAGGGGTTGTCTTTTGTTCTTATTTGTCTTTATATCATAACCAAGGTATGTTTTATTTTGCAGATATATCAACTGATGCGTCGTGACATTTATGTGAGATTCATCAAGGCTGATTTGTACAAGAACAAGTTAATGGAGGAAATGGAGGGTAAACCTCTGCAGGGACAGATGCAAGACAAACTACCAGAAGAAAAAAGAGAAGAGAAAAGAGTGAGTATATTCATTATATATTTGAAGTTATTAGCCAGGGATGTAATTTTGTACCAGCATTATTCGCTTATTGATTTTGGTGATGGTATTTTTTGCTCAATGGTATGTAAAAACTAGTTGGTTTTTGGTTTAGCAGAAAATGATTGCAGTTTTGAAGGGATAATCGTAATCTTCGTTACATTTCTTTTGTTCTTTTGTCCTTGTCTTTCTGAATTAATCTCCATTTTATGAAGTGCATAGCCCAGACCTGTCTGAATGCAGGGAGCGTATCACATACTGCTGGTCTTGTTGTTTGCTCACAAGCTCTTTGGTTAATCTGAAACTATAATCTGGTCTCTACTAAGAGCAACTTTTTTCTCTCTGTCTGAATCCTCATATAT